TGTTCGTCCCACTGGGTATCCCAAACGATCTGTCCCTGCAATCCCCTGGGCTGGGCTACTGTGCAAGTCTCGTTCAGTCTCAAGTCCAGCCCTCTCAAGTCTCAGGTTGCCGGTTCAACAAGGCACCCGGACAAGCGCGCCCTGTGGGGATTGCTGGGTAGGGCCGGCCGCCGCCGCCCCGGCTGCCGGCTTCGCCAGGCAGACCTACTGCCTGGCGTCCCGTGTCTTTTTATACTTGGGAGTTTCCCCGTTCTGTGGGCAACAAAGATCGGTCTGGAAATGCAGCACTGACTCACCGTTTGCGAATTCAACGCGGGCTCCAATCCTGGGTTGTTCTCACAGCGCCATCTTGAGTCCCCTCTCTGGACTAGTAGACTTTTTATGGTTGTATGCATTTTCCCTTTTTTTAATTTTAATTTTTATTTTGAGTTCTGGGGTACATGCGGAGGATGTGCAGGTTTGTTACATAGGTAAATGTGTGCCATGCTGGTTTGCTGCACCTGTCAGCCCATCACCCAGGTATTAAGCCCAGCGTGCACTCATTAGTTTTCTTGGTGCTCTCCTTCCCCTGCTCCTCCCCACACAGACCCCAGTGTGTGTTCTCCCTGTGTCCATGTGTTCTCATTGTTTTGCTCCCACTTGTAAGTGAGAACATTCGGGGTTTGGGTTTTTGTTCCTGCATTGTTTTGCTGAGGATAAAGACTTCCAGCTCCATCCATGTACCTGCAAAGGACATTATCTCATTCCTGTCCATGGCTGCATAGTATTCCACAGTTTATATGTACCATGTTTTCTTTATCCAGTCTACCATTAATGGGCATTTCGGTTGATTCCATGTCTTTGCTATTGTGAATCATGCTGCAGTGAACATAGGTACACATGTATCTTTGTAATAGAATGATTTCTATTCCTTTTGGTGTATGCCCAGTAATGAGATTGCTGGATCAAATGGTTTTTATGGTTCCAGATCTTTGAGGAATTGCCACACTGGTTGTGTGCATTTTCTACTGCTTCATAACAAATTACAAACTTGGTGGCTTGAAACAGTCCCCATTTATCATCTCAGCATGCTATAGGTCAGATGTCTGGACATGTCCTGGCTGGATTCTCTACTCAGGGTCTCCCCAGACTGAAATAAAGGTGTTGTCAGGGTTGCAGTCTCATATCAAGCTGGGGGCCCTTGTCCCAGCTCCCAGGTTGTTGTCAGAACCGAGTTCCTAGAGGCTGAAGGAGTATGCCTCCAACATCTCGCTGGCTGTTAACCAGAGCTATTCTCAGCTTCTACAGGTAGCTGGCCCTGTGGCCCTTTCCACAGCATGACAGTTTTTTGGTAGGCAAGGTCAGCAGGGGAATTTCACTGCTACTTTGGATGTCTGACTTCCGTGTCTCTGACTCTAGACCAAGGTTTAAATGGCTCATGCGATTAGGCCAAGCTCCCTTTCGTCCACCTATTTGGAACATTAATTATGTCTGCAAAATCCCATCACAGCAACACCCAGATTTGTGTTTGATTGAACAATGCGTGTGCTCACCAGGGCCCAAAATCTTGGCAGCCATCTTTGAATTCTGCTTCCTATAATTGCCTATTCACACAATGAAATATTACACCGCAGTCAGGAAGAATAGATAAAAGCCACCAGGAGGCTGGAGACCCAGGGAAGGGTTGATGTTGCAGCTTGAGTCTGAAGGCATTGAAGGCAGAATTCCCTCTTCTCCGGGGACCTCACTCTTTTCTCCTAAAGCTGACTGGATGACACCGATCCCTACATGAAGATCTAGCCATGGATTCAGGAGTCTTGAAGGGCTGAGAACCACTTTCATTGTGGGAGACCATGTAGAGGTTGGACACAATGATTTAAACATCCAGAGTCATCTATCATTTTGTATCATAAATAGCTTGTCGAAGTACAGTGTCTATCAAGCTGGTAACTGGTGACTGTCTAGCCCATCAGTTGGCATGACCACAGAAAGGTGCTAAAATCCGGGACTGATGACCTAGAAGGACAATGGCAAACATCACCTTTCTTCTTGGGGGCATTTCCAGCAGAAACACCGTGCATTCACTGCTCTACCTCCCTAACTACCCTTTACGGACTGACTTGTGTTCCTACTAAATTCATATGTGGAAGCCTAACCCCCAGGACCTTATTTAAAGATAGGGTTCAAGACGCTATGACTGAGATGACTGCATTTGAACATAGGGTCTTTCAAGAAGTACTTAAGGTAAAATGAGGTCGCTAGAGTGGGCCCTGATCCAATAGAACTGGTGTCCTTATAAGAAGGGGAAATGAGGACACAGACACATAGAGAGGGACAACCACATGAGGACACAGGGAAAAGATGATGTCCACAAGCCAAGGAGAGAGGTCTCAGGAGCAGCCAGCTCTACCTACACCTTGCAGATTTCCAGCCTTCAGAACCATAAAAAGACAGATTCTGATTTTTAAGCCACCAAGTCTGTGAAACTTTGAGACAGCTCTAGCAGACCAGTGTGCTACCCTCACCAGCAAAAGACAAGTCTAAGTTCTCGGCCAGGTATGATGTTGTGGTTGAGTCTGGGACTCTTGAGAGGGTGCAGCCACATGAATGGGGCTAGTGTCTTAATAAAAGCGATCCCTGAGAGCTCCCTTGCCCCTTCTACCATGTGAGGTCACAGTGCAAGGTGCCGTCTATGAACCAGGAAGTGGATCCCCACCCGACACTGAATCTGCCCAGCCTTGATCTTGGACTTCTGAGCTTCTGTAACTGTAAGCAATAAGTTTCTGTTTATAAGCAACTCAGCGTATGATAATCTGCTATAGTAGCTGAAAAAACTAAGAAGCAAGTCTTAGAGCATGACTTTGCCTTATATTATCAAAATTAGGACAAATACTTCTTATTATATGCCTGCAACTGACAAAACAATCTCCATTAAACAAAAATTAAATCGTTAGCTATGATGACCAGTGCTGACAAGAGTGAGGGAGTGGGAAGACAGGACTCATAATGAGAAACGACTTAATGGATGTGAGGTACGTTACTCAGATGATGGATACTCAAAAGCCCTGACTTCATCACTATGCAATCTATGCCTGTAACAAAATTGCACTTGGACCCCATAAATGGACACAAATAACATAATTGAATTTGCTTTTAAATGCTCTTTAAGCATTATTTTATTTATTTATTTTTTTTTTTGTGAGACAGAGTCTCACTCTGTCACCAGGCACCAGCCTGGAGTGCAGCAGCACGATCTCGACTCACTGCAACCTCTGCCTCCCGGGTTCAAGTAATTCTCCTGCCTCAGCCTCTTGAGTAGCTGGGACTACAGACACACCAACATGCCCAGCTAATTTTTATATTTTAGTAGAGATGGGGTTTCACTATGGTGGCCAGGATGGTCTCCATCGCTTGACCTCGTGATCCACCCGCCTCGGCCTCCCAAAGTGCTGGGATTACAGGTGCAAGCCACCGTGCCCAGCCTTAAGCATTATTTTTAATGTTGTCTTCACTCAAGTTAGAAAATGTTTGGTGTCAAGTTGAAATAACTCGCAAGGATTTAGTGAAAGCATGGTAGATCCAGGCCTGTATGTGTGCTCGGTATTTCATTAGCTATCTGGCCTTACGAAAGCCGTTTCTACTGGCATCAGTTTTTTTTCAGCTGCAACATGAAGGCATGCATCAAATAACTCTTCAGATGCATTGCAACTATAAATCATTTGATAATTTCCTAGATTCACTTGGAATTCCATTTCTTGCATGAACTTGCATTTAGTTCCATATGTTGGAGGAAGTTGGAGGGGCGAAAATGAGATTTTATTCCAGGGAGGGATATGAAGGGTGTTGAACATTTTTTTGCTACGTAAATATACAGGTCAGCTTTGCAGAAATTTTCAACATTTTGCAATGGGAAGCACAGGCTGTTTGGCATCTCGAGAGAACATCTGTAAACTTTGGTAATATGGGAAGAATCACAGGGTTTTCAGGTTTGCAGTTTTAGGAGGCTTAGAAGATTATGATGAGAATTTCTTTAGGCTCCAGAAAAAATTGTCTCTCTTTTTTCACACCTGCTTTGTGGTGTTTCTTTAGGGTTTATTTTAACAGCCATGTGCACTCGTGATTTTATTATAAGCCATGTCAAATCCTTTGATTCTATGTGGAAGTACATGGAGTGTAAATTATGTATAAATGAGCACACATTTGGCTATCCTAGGCAGTTTTGTGGTTTGTGGCAGAAAATTGCTGTGTGTGAGCACCTAAGAGGAGAGATGTGGCGTTTGATGTCCAGACACAGATAGGGCTCAGTAACCAGTAGGCACGGAGGAGAAGGAAGGTCATTATGTTTTCTTTCTGCAACAGCTTTCTTGGGATATAATTTACATATCACACAATTCCCCCATTTATTTCTTATTTAGTTTTATTTTTTATAGCTGGCTCTTACTGTAAAGTACTGAGATTACAGGTGAGAACTACCACATGCAGCCCAGTTCTCCGATTTAAAGTATACAACGCAATCATTTTTAGGACATTCGCAGTTGTGCAACAATCACCACAATCAACTTTAGAACATTCTCATTAATTCAACAAGAAATTCCACCCTCTTTAGCTATCCTTGCATTATTTCTCCAATTACCCCTCATCCCACATCCCTTGGCAACCACTGATCTGCTTTCTGTCTATGGATTTGCTTATTCTGAACGTTTCCTGTAAATGGAATCATACCACATATATGGTCCTTGGTGATGAGTTTCTTTGACTGAGGTTAACGTTTTCAAGGTTTATACACATTGTAGCCTGTGTCAAATCTCCTTTTTTTCTTTAAGGCTGAATAATATTCTATTGTACATGGCTAGAACACATTTTCATGATAACATTCAAAGACTCAGAAACAATTCTACAGGCTATCCAGGTCAAATTCTAGATGTGATTTCTCTTGGCAAAGCATTCTCCCTGAACTCCCATAGCTGATGGCTGTATCAGGCCCTGGTTCCTGGAAATGACAGAGAGTGACATCAACTCACCTCTCTTTCTTGGGTCTCACAGTTGTCTGTGTGATCACTTTCAGCACACTGTGGAAGGGAAGTCTTGGTTTGGCTGACTGCAACATACACGTGGCTCAGATCCTGATCAAAAGAGCTATTTCATTAAAGACAGGGCAGGTGGAAAAGCAAAGGTCTTATAAACAAATCATGACAGGCTGCTCCCTTTCATTTTCTTCCTTCCTTCCTTTCCTTCCTTTCTCTCTCCTACTTGTCTTTTTCTTTCTTCCTTCCTTCTTTTTCCTTTCTTTACCTTCCTTCCTCTCCTTCCCTCCCTTTTTTCTTTTTCTTTCCTCCCTCCCTCCCTCCCTCTTCTCTACTTGCCTTTCTTTCTTCCTTCTTTCCTTTCTTCATTCCTTCCCCTCTCTCTCTCCCTTTTTTCCTTTCTTCCTTCCTTTCTCTTCCTTCCTTCCCTCACTTCCTCACTCCTTTTCTTTCTTTCCTTCCTTTTCTTTTTTCTTTCATCTCTTTCTCCCTTTTCCTTCCTTCCTTCCTACCTTCCTTCCTTCCTTTGTTCCTTTTCCTACTTTCTTTCTTCCCCCATCCCTCTCTGCCTTCTTTCTTTCTTTCTTCCTTCATCTTTTTTTCTTTTTTCCCTTCCTTCCTTTCCTTCCCTCCCTCCCTTCTTCTCTCCCTTATTTCTACCTTTCTTTTACCTTCCTTCCTCTCTTTTTGTCTCTTTCTTTTTTCTCACTCTCTTCTTTCTTTCTTTCTCTCTTTCTTTCTAAGATGTTTTCACTCTGCTGTCACCCAGGCTGCAGTATAGTGGTGTGATCATAGTTCACTGCAGACTCAAACTCATGGGCTCATGTGATCCTTCCACCTCAGCATCCCGAGTAACTGGTGTGTGCCATCATGCTTGGCTAACATTTTTACTTTTATTTTCATAGAGGCAGGGTTTCACTATATTGCTCAGGCTGGTCTCAAACTTTTACACTCCAGTGATCCTCCCACCTAGGCCTCCCAAAGTACTGGGATTATAGGTGTGAACCACCTTGCCTAGACCCCTGTCTTTCTGAAGGACTGAACACACCACTCAGGTCAGCCAAGGCAGAAAGATGTCTTGAGGCCAGTAAAACAAGCAAGGAACTGAGCCCTAAGAGGAGGGACTTAAGAGAGGGCCACAAGGCCACTCTCACTTCAGACACCAGTTGCAGGTTGAGAGGAGTTCCCAAAGCTACCCTCAAGTTTAATAGTTCCCTAGAAGGACTCACAGAACTCAATGGAAGCTGTTATACTCACATTTGTGGTTTATCATGGTGAAAAGATGACAGATCACAGTCATTCAATGGAAGAAGTGGATGGGATAGGGGTCCAAGCCAAGTACCAGAGAGAGCTTGTATTATCCTCTCCCCTTGGAGTCAGGGAAGTGTTGGTTTTTAGGCATCAATATATGACCATATGCATGAAGTGCTGCCGACCTTGGTGTAGTAGTTCACTTCTGCCTTGTTATAAAGAAAAAACGGAGTCTGGGTCATTTATAAAGAAAAGAGATCTAATTGGCTCACAGTTTTGCAGGCTGCACAAGAAGCATGATGCCAGCATCTGTTTCTCAGGAGGCTTTCAATCACAACAGAAGGTGAAGGAGAAGCAGGTGTCTCACATGAAGGGAGCAGAAATGAGAGAGTAAGGAGGGGGCTACACACTTTAAAGCGACCAGTTCTTATAAGGACATACTCACTATGACAAGGACAGTACCAAGGGAAATGGTGTTAAACCATTCATGAAAAATCACCCACAGGATCCAATCACCTCCAATCAGGCCCCACCGCCAACATTGGGAATCACATTTCAACATGAGATTTGACGCACATCCAAACCACACAACAGGGCACATCACCTGAGCCTTGGGATTCAGAGCACTTGTTGAGGCTCAGTTATGATTGATACTGTTTATGTGGCTGGTCATTCTCCAGTCTCACTGGAGGCCTCCCCATACCATGGAACCTGAATTGCATTGTTACTAATGGATGTGGCTACCTTTGCTCCAAATCACATTGTTGGATGACCCAGCGTGAACCAAGAAACCTACAGAAACAAAGACACTCCTGTCTTTGTTTGGCAGACATTCCAAGGGCTTAGATGTCAAGTTCTGGAGCCAATGCCAAAGCTCAGACCTCTCCTTGAGCAAGGTTAAATTCTTTACCTCAAGGTCTGCAGAAGTGAACAGGTTCAGGTAATGCAAAGAGGGGTCTCAGGAGTAAAACAAGGTATCAAGTGGTCCCTCAGAAGAGGAGATAAAATAACCATGAGGCAGCAATTTTTCCCAGTTGTAATGGAGGCTTCATTTTGTATTTCTCTATAGCTGGAGGTGGGCAACTCACCTGCAGCTCTCAGAATGGTGAATTCAATCAACCCCATAGCTAAACTGCTTCCTGGGATGAAAACTAATCTTTCATCCACTTTTCTTCATAAATTACATCCAAACATTGTTTGATATAATGCATCAGAGCTTGTCCGTGGGCCCAAATGTTGGCATAAATGCTCCCAACAACATGAATCCAGCCATGGAATAATGCCCCAATTTGATGGTTGTGAATATCCCTCTATTAGTAAGTTTTAGAGGAAATTAAGCATCTAAAATGGGTATCCTTTGCTGGTGTGAATGTAAGTTAGTACAACCTCTGTGGAACACCATACGAAGATTTCTCAAAGAACTGAAAATAGAAATACCATTCCATCCAGCAATCCCACTACTGGGTATCTACCCAAAGGAAAATAAATCATTGTATGAAAAAGATACCTGTGCTTGTATGTTTACTGTAGTACCATTTCCAATAGCAAAGATATGGAATCAATGGAAGTGTCTATCAATGGAGGATTGGATACAGAAAATGTGATTTATCTACACACAATGGAATACTATTCAGCCATGAAAAAAAATAAAACCATGTTTTTTGCAGCTATGTGGATGGAACTGGAGGCCATTATCTTAAGTGAACAAAGCCAGACCCAGAAAGACAAATATCACATGTTCTTACTCATAAGTGGAAGTTAATGTGTATATGTGGATGAAAAGAATGGAATGAGATGAAGGAGACTCAGAAGAGTGAGGAGGTGGGAGGGAGACAATGGGAAATTAGTTAATGGGTACAATGAAATGGATTACTAAAAGCCCTGCCTTGATCATTATGCAGTCTATGCATGGAATAAAATTGCACTTGTTAATAATTAATTATTATTTATTTAAAATTAGAAAAAGATAGAGAAAATGTGTACCCTATCTTTGTTAAAACCCACAAATATTAAGACTTTTTTTTTCTCCTCTATTTCAAATTTTGTTCACCCTCACCTATGGCAGTCTACGTCAGTGCTTGAGAGGAATTGGAGCTCACCTTGAAGGTGCATTTGAGATTGCTTCTCAGGAAAAAGAGTCGGATGTCTTCAGCTCATATTTTTAGAAGAGAAAAATCTTCTTGGTCTTAGCCTAACCATAATGCAGGAATGAATATAAAATCTGCAGGAAAACTGTTCCATTGTGGTCAGCTGAATAACGACTACCCCAAAATGTCCACGTCTTAATCCCTGTTCAGTAGACAGACAAAAAGGCCCCAAAGACGTCCATATTAATCCCCATGTAGTAGACAGAATCGGCCCCAAAGATGTCCCCAAAGATGTGGTGGGCAAAATAATGTCCCCAAAGATGTCTGAATCCTAATCTCCATGTAATAGACAGAATAAGGGCTCCAGAGATGTCCACATCCTAATCCCCATGTGGTAGACAGAATAACGGCCCCAAAGGTGTCCATGTCCAAGGAATACGTTGATTTACATGGTAAAGCAGACTTTGCAGATGAGATCAAGTTAAAAATCTTGAGACGGGGAGATTATTATGGATTATTTGTGTGGTTCCGATGGTTCTTAGAGAAGGGAGGCAGGGATTCAGAAAAAGAGAAAGAGGAGCAGTGACAAGGAGACTGGAGGTTGGTGTGATGGAAGAAGGAAGAAGGCATCAGAAGCCGAGGAATACGGCAACCTCTAGAAACTGGAAAAGGCAAGGAAGTAGATTCATCCATGGAGCATCCAGAAGAACCGTTCTTGCAGACATCCTGATTTTAGCCCAGTGAGACTCAGTTGAACTTCTGTTTTGGCCACTGAAATGAAGCCCCTTCCTTGCTAAGGCACAATACCTAGGCCAGCAGCCAAAGGTGTTATGATTTAAGGTCCTCAGTGGCCTGTGAGTGTCAATGTTGGTACCTTTGGCTGTACCTACAACCAGCAGCTGCAACCCCATGTCATGGCATAAGCTGCCGGAAACTTCAAGGTCACAGTCACATGCAGCCAGAACTTTGCGCATGGGACTACACAGGAGACTCTGATATTTTGAAACAGCTCAGAGTTCATTGTTTCTCAGCATCCTTGTCAGGGTCTCCTAGATGATGACTTTGGGGCCTCTGAGATGCAGTTCATGCATGCCCCACCCCCCACTGGATTAGGAGCCCACTGCAAAGTCTACAGGGGGCTTGGGGAGAAACAAAGACTTCTGTCTGTCACTGCTCCAGTTACATTGGAAAGAGAGTTTGTCACATGCCCAAAGCAAGCTCCCCCGCCCCCTGCATATGAGCCTATGTTGCTGAGTGGAAGGAAAAGAAGCTCGAAGCTGCCTTCTCTTAATATCCTTCTCCGACTCTGACTCAGTGATCCCCACCTGCAGGTGGAAGATGCTGAGAGGGCACACACCTCTTGTATGGAGGGAGGGAGAGAGAATAAGGGAGGGAAAGAGAAGAATGAAAAAAGAGAGAGGGAGAGAAGGAAAGGAAGGAAGAGAGAGAAGAAAGGAGAAGAGAAAGGGAGAGGAGGAAGGAAGGAAGGGAGGGAGGGAAAGAAAGGAAAGGAAAGGAAAAAATGAAAGGAGGCAGGGAGAGTGAGACAGAGTCAGAAAGAGAGAATGAGGAAGAAAGAGAGTGGAAAAGAGAGAATAAGAAGAGGGGAAATGGAGAAATATAAAAAACCAAAAAAAGAAAGAAAGGGGAGGGAAGAAGAGAAAAATAAGGAAGAGGAGAAGAGAGAAAGAAAAAGAGGAAGCAGAGGGGAGAAAGAGAAGGCAGGAAGAGAAAGGAAAAGAGGGTGAGAGAGATAAAGGAACTCATGGTAAATAGAGAGAGAAAGAAGAGAAAAGGGAAAGAGAGAGTATACTGGGAGAGAGATGAGATAGAGAGATATGAATGGAGGAAGAGAGAGAAGAATAAGGAGAAGAAGAAGGGAAGAAGAGGAAGAAGGAGGAGGAAGTGGAGGAGGAAAGGGAGAGAGAAAGAAAAGAGGGTGAGGAAGAAAGAGAAGGAAGGAAAGAGAGCCCAACAGAGAGAAGCAAATGGATAATCAGAGAAAGGAAGGGATGGAGAACAAGAGGAGAAAAGGACAGAGAGGGAAGGAAGGAGGGATGGAGGGAGGAAGAGAGAGAGCATGTGCTTTAAAAAAAGTTACAGTACCAGCTATCATTTCCTCCAGAGGCCAAGAAAACTCTCTCCACTCGCCAAACCCCACTGAATATATTTGAAAGAGCTAGTAAAAGACAAAATAAAATTTCTTTGTGATTACACCCAATGAGACACACCAGTTACATATCCTTTCCTCCTAACAGCCCTCAAGAAATACCAGTCCTATAATGTAATACAGTTGAATCTCTAAGAGCTGTTTAGGAGCAAGAACTCAGCTGACAGGATTTCTGGAAAATTTCTCCTGGCTTGTCTCTGATCAAGCAATGTCACCAAGAGGCGATTGTTAACCCCACTGGTGTTGGATTCCTCATTTGGAGAAATGACGGAATGAATCTGGTTCATCCTCAGAGCTCCTTTTATTGTCAAAGTTCTCTCTCCTAGGTAAAGATTAAATTTCTGTATTTTATACTAAACAACACCAGGGTTCTAGTGGTGTTTGTCTGCCCATCAGAATATCTTGAACTTGCTGGAAGAAGTTAGGGATCATTCATGGTCTCCATCCTAGGTGTTTTGGGGGGTCTGTAGGAGGTTGGGGCTGTTGTGCTACGGAGACCATGATTGACTTCATGAGGCTTGTTCTGATTGTTCATAACAATGGGGTTTGAACAAGAAAATGAAGGTGATGTGACAGGGTTAGATCCTGCAGAAACTCAGCTCACTTTGGACAGAGAATGGGTGTAATGTCCCCTGAGACTCTGGACTTGAGAGTAGAGGGCAACCCGTGCTTGGACTGGGAATACTCAACACATGTGCAATTACATGTCATTGACCTTAACATGAGATGTTCACCTCTCAGCCCAAATGTGTTACCCAAACCTTTCTGGGTTTGTGGGGTTGGAGGAATAGCTCTTGGTGGACTGGCTTATTGGTTTGGTGATTGGGTTTTGCATCTCTAATACTCTGTTCATCTTTTGTCCTTCTGGCTTGAATTTTGGGTTGAGGTGTTCCACAGTGGGCAGGCCTATGGAAACCTACCCCCAAAAGTCCCAGAAAGCTGAGAAGCCAATGAAAGAGGCAGACACATCTAGTTTCTTAGAGAAAAAAACATTCAATAGGTACTTAGAAACAGAAACCATGTTTGTGTCTTGGGTCGCAGAGAGACAAGATGGTGGATCTCCACACCATTACCCCCAAATAACCCAGGGCTTATATACCATGGGATAAGGGGTGTGTAGGATGATTGTTTAGGGGCAGGATTTATGGCAGGGACATGCTCTTAAACAAGGAACAGTTGATAGAATAGAAATTGTAGCAGTATGCCTGGAACTAGAGTCAATCAGAAGTCAACATGGTGGATTAGCATCCAAGATGGAGTGACTTTAGACTCCACATGAAGATGAATGATGCTCCTGTCCTAAAACGTGGGAGGGCTGAAGCCTTGCCACTGGCCACAGTTTTGTCTTCAGGACTCTCAGCAACTTCAGACCCCACAACTACAGGAAGAAACTTCCTACTCATGTTCTCTGGCACTCCAGAGCCTCTCTGTTTCTGAACTGTACTGACAATCCCTGAGTCTTTACATGAGTTCCTCACTGCTTCCCTCATCCCAGCCGTGACGCTTCTGCATAGGCACAACCACGTGATTATATTATCAAAGTCTTGCCTTCCAGCTGAAATAACCTTATAGGAAATTGTTTTGACAGTTCAATAAATAAAACCTCTTGAGGAGAACCCAACACAAATAACCTTTGTATTAAATTCTGCTGTGCTATGGTAAGATAATCATAGGAGTACACTTCCAGTCATTGAAACTTTAGGGAAGAAAAGGGGAAATCTTACAGTATAAGCCCACTCAGTTCATGCATTCCTAGAAGGAGAGGTTGAGTTTACACAGCTTGGCTTTTTCTCAAGTCCAAGTCTAGTCAAGAGGCGGTCTTTATAAACAATGATACACAACTTTGCTGGGAAAATATTTGTTTGAAAAGAAATGGAGGATAATTCAAAGGAGGTGATTGAAGCCTTAGTACGATGGGCTTTGAATGATGTGTTGTGTAGTGTTTATTTCTTCCTGTTGATGGAGGAGGGTGATTAAGGGCTTTTCCTACCTTAAAGTGATCAAAGTGGTATTTTCATAAGATTAATCTGGCAGCAGAATGCGGATAGTTCTTAGCCTCCCCACCTGTCCTGGGTGTATGTAGAGCACCTGGGGCCACGTAAGTCCAAGAGAGAAAAGCATACATGCAAAGTAACACTTTAATCGTATGTCTAAGACTAAATATAACTCAGAGAAAGACAATATTGGGAAGAGCACCAAGAACTTAAGACATTTGCACACACTCCACATGAGCCATCTTTTAGATCATCTCTAGGAGCATGAGAGCTCTTTCACTTAATTTTGGCCAAATTAGATACAGTTACAGTTTACCTTCACAATATTAGGGCCATATAGAGCCATTTCCCAAAATGAAAGAGTTTATACATTTGATCCATCCCTGGTTGTGTTCAATGTCTAGTTCATGCTTTGATGGTTTCCTCAGATGCAGCTGAATTTATAATCATTCTGAGATGTCCCATAGATAAAGGATTCAACCTGCTTAATTTCAACTCTTCCACCTAGCACCCTTGCTTACAAAATGACATGTAACCTATGAGTTGGTTGAAGTTTTCTCATTTAAAAAAAGCCATGTCAAAAACCAATTTATAGGTTCCAAAGCAGAGAGTATTACACGGATGTACTCATTTGCACTTTGAGACACTGAAAGACTTGGTGTCTAGGCAGTCTGGGATAATAGCCTAGTTCTAAGCACATTGTCATTGATGCATTTATTGGTCATAGACCTCCATGTGGCTGGCAACTGTAAAGAACACCATCCACCTCAGTGGAAAGCAGGTGAAAGGGAGAGATGCCTCAACCTGCTCAGCATTAGTAATAGGATGGAACCAAATGAATAAGCCCTGGACTTACTCCTTAGGAGACAACTTAAGAACTTACCTTCCTTTTACATTTTTGATTCTGTATTGAGATTGCTTTCTGCTAGTCTACCAAGATATATGTCATCCATTTTTAATGCAAGAAAAAATACACATACAAACCTAATACAAACACACACATTTGTTTATGTGTGTGTACACATATGTGTGTGTATGTGTGTATATATATGTGTGTTTGTGAGTATTAGGTAAGTATGTGTGTATGCATGTGTGTTTTTTCTTGCATTAGAAAAAGATAAAATCTCTGACCACAGGGTTTTGGGTAAAATACTCCTTTATTTTATGGAATAACAACCTATTAAAAGAGGGTGAATGTTCAAAGTTATAACGTCAGAATTCTTTGAGGATCAAAGACTTTTTCAGCCCAGCAAGCATCCAAGAGTAATTCAATAAGAAAATGGGATTTCTTTCCCTTGTGGGGGTTTCTCAAAGACTGTTTCCTCATTTAAGTGACATTTGGACAGGAATAAAATGGGAGAGTACCTCACACCAGTTAGAATGGTGATCATTAAAACGTCAGGAAACAACAGATGCTGGAGAGGATGTGGAGAACTAGGAACACTTTTACACTGTTGATGGGAATATAGATTAGTTCAACCATTGTGGAAGACAGTGTGGCAATTCCTCAAGGATCTAGAACCAGAAATACCATTTTACCCAGCAATCCCATTATTGGGGATATACCCAAAGGTTTATAAATCATTCTACTATAAAGATACATGCACACGTATGTTTATTGCGGCACTACTCACAATTGCAAAGACTTGGAACCAACCCAAATGCCCATCAATGATAGACTGGATAAAGAAAATGTGGTACATATATACCATGGAATAGTATGCAGCCATAAAAAAGGATGAGTTCATGTCCTTTGCAGGGACATAGATAAAACTGGAAACCATCATTCTCAGCAAACTAACACAGGAACAGAAAACCAAACACCACATATTCTCATTCATAAGTGGGAGTTGAACAATGAGAACACATGGACACAGGGAGGGGAACATCACACACTGGGGCCTGTTGAGTGATGGGGTATTAGGGGAGGGATAGCATTAGGAGAAATACCCAATGTAGATGACTGGTTGATGGGTATGGCAAGCCACCATGGCACGTGTATACCTATGTAAGAAACCTGCATGTTCTGCACATGTACCCCAGAACTTGTATAATAAAAAAAAAATGGAAGAGTACATGATACTTCCAAAGTTCCTGAATTTTCAATGCAACCATCTTGGAGGTGTTCTTTTGTGAACAATGTTCCCACAACTAGTAAAGCCAGGCCTAATTCAAATCTGTAAGATAGAGACCATGCATACAGACATCTGATAAATATTCGCCTGAGTTGGTAGGTTGCAGAAGGAGTCGCTTTGAATAACTAAATTTGGTGATCCACAGTGGATTGAGTGGATTGCTCCCAGAGCCTCTCCAACCTTTATGGTCAGTAAATATGTCCAACCAATTGGTATGGAAATGGCCATGCGGATTTAACTGTAAGAACAAGGCACATGCAGTGGACTTCTTTCATCCTGAAAGAAATTAGATCAATTTCAGCATTGACAATAACATCTGAGCTTGGGTTGCTTGGCTTTCACGGAAGCAGGTTCTTTGGTGTGCAGACAGAGGGTAGATATATATAATTTTGTGTTTGTTTTGTTTTGTTCCTGCTTGGGAGGAGGGAGTGGAAGAGGAGAGAGAAGCCAAGAATTGAATGCCAGGGTTATCCCTGGATGATGGGGCCAATGACAAATCGTCACTAGTAGAGAGACTAAAAAGAACTTAAGGGAAAATAATATTTTATATCAAATTTTTAGCCATCCGTGTAGATTGACTATTCGTGTCTCCCTCATTCTCTAAACCTTCTCAGCAAAGCCTGATGCAGACAAAGAAGTCTTGTATGAATTATTTCATTTGATTATTCCTTAGTCCTTCATTCATTTCTGGAGGAAATAAAAGAGTCGGGATTCTGTGACTGGTTCGGCAAGGGGCAAAGGAGAGACAGTGCATGGATGTTGGACATATGGTCAACAGAATGAACTAATGAACTCCAGACACATCCCCTTACCCCCATCCATACTTTTTATTTACTGGAATCCTGAGAAAAGCATCCACTGCTCGTCACTCACAGAATGGGACTTTGAGTGGAACTTAATCCAGGACTTAATATGAGCACACCTGGAATGTTCATTAGAGCACCTCTTCTCCAAATATGATATCATGGGAGTGAATGAAGCAAATCATTTTCTTGGTCACTTGGTTTGTAGGTCATTGTATCTCATACCTGGAGAAAAATGTCAGCCTCACTCTATGGTGAAGTCTTAGGATAACATCTCTTATGTAGAAGATGTGTGTTTGCCTCCCAGCTAAAATAACCTTATAGGAAATTGTTTTGACATTTCAATAAATAAGCTCTTTGAATAAGAGCCAGTACAAATAACCTTTATATTAAATTCTGCTGGTCTATGGCAGAAGGTTAATCATAGGAGGTTACTTCCATACACTGAATAGTCAAAAAAAATATCAAAAGTTCTCTGAGAACATAATAAAGCTCATCCAGCTCATTCATATCCAGAAGAAGAGGTTGAATTCATGTAAGTTGGCCTTTTTCCAGGTCCTTGGCTGGTCCTCAAATCCAGCCTGCATTTTCTTTACCTTCAGTGGTACTAGAAAAAACATCTGGCAGGTTTAGAATATGAATAACATCAGAAATAATCAGAGAAAATCCACCGGCCATAACGAGGTGAGAACCAGCTATACATGATAAGTTTGTACCAATTTTCGTTTCCTAAGGGCAGCTTTTATAAAAGGCATTATTTTATCCCATTAAGAGCTTGGGGTGACATGAATACATCCCATAAATCCTTTATCATGATTTGACCCCATTTTGATGATTTATGACCACAAATATTTTTTGAGCAGAATTTCAGAGATTTATTTGGAAAGACAAATTCTGATATAAATTGAAATTCACTGAAACATTAATATATACACATACATACATATATACACGCATATATATACTGTTTAATATAGATACTGT